TTCAGAGAAGTTCTGCGCTGCACTATGATCACTCACCAGGTTCTTCTGAGAGGAGCTTCACAGTGTTTTCTGCTCCGTGCTGCTCTCTGTCTGACAGATGTGGTACTGTAGCTTTCCCCCTTCAAATCCCTAACCCTGTAAAGCCTGTCATATGAAATAACAGTCAGATTATTTGCTTTTTAATGAAAAAGTCTATCGAACATTCAGACAAAAGTTTTCATATGCATTTTGTATCATATTGGTTAATGTTGTATGATATTAGTGAGAATATAGAGCTTAGAATGAAGAAGGAAAAAAAAAACACCTCAATTACATTTTTTAGTCAGTCGAAAACTGAGCAAAAATATGACATCTGGTGCAGATTTTGTTATTTATGTGGGCGAAATGTAAGTAGTTTTAATGCACCCAGTTTGAATATGCATAATCACAAATGAGAAAATGAGGTTTTTAGTGCCATTTTCTAAAGGTTTTAGTTTACAGGTTTCATTCTTTTTATTATGATTATGTTAAGTCATGATGGCTCATTTAACTGACAGAACTGATATCTGAATGGTTTTCTTGTTTTTGGCAGTCAGCGGTGTCTCTCGATGAGATATTTGGTTTTCTTTTACATTTTCGAGCTGATGAGTCTCTATGTCGGGGTACAGCACTTTGGAAAGAGGTAAACTCAAAGTCTATTAACTAAACCAGAATTTATAAGTCATGCTCAATCTGCAAAGTATTTGATCAGAACTAATATTCACAAGATATTAAATCTTGCTCCCATCACAGCTGTGTAATTGGCTCCAGGCTAACGAAGGCTGCTTTCGTTTGACCAATGGCGATCCGGGCTCCTCTGAGGAGCTTCACGCTGAAACGTCAAACAGAGATGGAGCTTCTATATTCAGCTATGTCCAGCAGCGTCTGAAGACCTTTCTCACAGTTCCAGCCAGCTCAGGTGAAATACAGCACAACATTTTAGCAATATTGGACATGTTGCTACATCAAATCTTTTATTAATCCTGGAACAACATAACTGTCAAACAACAATATCTGCAAACTGAAATACATTTGATCATTATGCCACATTTCTTTTTGAATTTGAAGGTCAATATCTTCTACCCCATTTACTGTATATAACTTGGCTCCAAAACATTTTCTACCAAGCGTTATGCACATCTCACAGTTTTAGTGAGTGAGTGAGTGAATGAATATCATCTTTAGTCTGTGCGTATATTATTTCTTCTGGCAGATCAGACAGGAAGTCTACCTGATCCAAGTGAGGCCGAGCTTTTGGTGCGAACTGTACTGCTGACAGCCGACCTTCAGCTGAACAGGAGTGAGGAACCTCGTCTAGAACTGCTTCTCCAGCCCCTTCTGGACGTCTTACAGAGACTCAGCACCAACGTCTATCTGGTGCTGCAGAAGACGGACAAGAGCCTGCAGTTACTGCTGCGCCTGCTGCAGCTGCATCGCAGACGCTCGGATACAGAGAAGGAGAATGGTGTGTGCTGTGTTTGAGAAAATAAGACAAACATGCCGTGTTTGGACGTGCCAAAGTATTGAAGCTAGTGTGTCTGGATGTTTGTAGAGGATGTTGTGGCTGTTACGTTGAAGACGCTCATGCTGTCGGTGGTGGAATCAGTGCAGGAGTTTCTGCTCAGAAGGTTGAGCGGGGAACTGAGAGAGGTGAGTGTTTTCATGCATCACATATAATCCTGCTGGAGAAAGTAGGCCTGGGTGGCCAAAACTGGGTTATTGCTGATCCAGGTAGGTCTACCATCACTAATCTCCTGACTAAGATGGTCTGCCAGGTCGAGAACGGGTCCGTCGACCACTATCATTTGGTTTGGCTGGATTTTCGGGGGATTTATCTCTCTTCTCTCTCTTTCTGTAGTTATGTGATGTGGAGAGGTCTGATCTTTATCTCTCAGTATTAAGGGAGCTAGTTCTCACTTATTCCACTGTGTCGTGGTACGGCTCAAATCTGCAGCAAAACTACATCCCAAAACTCACCGCAAACTGCCTGAGGATCCTCGGTGAACCCTCTGAACAGGTGCAGCACTCAGCATAGTCTAGATTCTTCAGACTATGTTCATCATGATTGCATGTTTGATACAATTGCCACACGTTCACTACTGTTCAGAAGTTTGGGGTCAGTAAGATTTAAGAAATGTATACTTTTGAGCAAGTAGGCATTAAATTGGTCAAAAGTGGTAATGAAGACATTTACAGGTGCATCTCAGTAAATTAGAATGTCGTGGAAAAGTTC